TCGTACCTACAATGTTTGTGCACTGTGTAAACAATGAGTGACGTATATGCGCGAGAGATCACTTCCGGCATTAACGTAAACTACGCCAGAGCGCGTACACACCTCATGCATCGGATGCCGTGCGCGCGCCCAAAGACAGTTGGACAGTGTTGTATTAGAGGTTAAAAAATATATATAAATACTGTTCGGTTTCTGGCACAAACCGATCGTTTTGTGTCTTAGGACATCAATGCCGTCACGAGCCGCAGGGTTTAATTTGGATTTGTCTGTGCATGTTTTTTTTACTCTCATAGATTTTGTTACCATTACCATGCATTATACGACTGATAGACTGCAACGGTTCGACTTAAAAATCATCATATGTGTTCTACTGAAGAAACAAAGTCACCTACATCTTGGATGCCCTGGGGGTAAGCAGATAAACATCAAATTTTCATTTTTGGGTGAACTATCCCTTTAAGATCAGCTCAGGAACTGCAGTCTATAATAGCAAAATATATGCAGTGGGTTGAAACATCCAATTCCCTAAATGAGCCTGATAAAACACAATTCAATTTTACACAACCAGAAAGACAGCGTATACAGATGTACCCAATTAAAATTTCAATCAGTTTTATTAAAACAATTTAATAGTGCTGCGCATGAACAAAACAAACACTCTGGTCTTTTTTTGTATTTCACATAAAAAAATAAATAAAACCATGCTTTTTTTCTTTCAGATATAGCTATCACCACAATTAACTATAAATCATATTTCTCTTATTTGGCTTGAACCGAAAAAGTGCACACACTTTCACTCTTTAGTGACGTCTTTAACAGAATATTTATTCAAATAAAGAGGAAACAGCAGAGTACATTGTCTATTCAGTGCAATTCAAGCTTGACCTACAGGTTCTCCTATAAACAAGCTGATATCATTTCTGCCCGCAGCATTTGGTCATTTAGCTCTATCTAAACTGTATCTCGTCTAACTGGTTAAAAGATGATTATTTATAATGTCTGAGCACTGAACAACAGTACTGTGTTTACAAAGAGGAATAACCACATACATTAATACAAAACAGGGATTTTAACATCCTAAGCAGGAAGCTTTGCAAGAGACATGAAATAAAATCCAAACTGATATAGAAATGCATATGTAAGAAATAGTACATAAACATCGCAATGTACTTTAATTCAGTCTATAGCCAACAGAAACAAAAAAACTTCATTAAGATGCTTGAGGTAATATGAACATAAGCTGGTAAAAAACACAAAAATGACAAATACAGAACTGCAGAGATGCAAAACTCAGACTAGTTTAAGTTAGTTTCACATTGTTATTGTCGAGATAGAATTTGTTCATAAACAAAAAAAATCCTCAGCCTGAATAAGGATATTTGTATAGGTCAGCGCTGCTCAGTCCTACTCCTGGAGAAAAAACTCTGCAGGAAGGTACAGTAGATCTCCAGGAACAAAGACTGTATATGTATGAAAACAGAAAGATATAACACTATAAACAGGTGTTTAAATAGTAAAATCTGAGAGTAAAGTCCTTTCATTCACACAAACTTAACCATTTACATGACAACAATGCCAAACACATCCACAATATGGGATAAATAATCAGTACTACCAGATAAACAAAAAATGATCAGTGATCTATAGGCTGAAAGCATGCTCCACTGAGTGGGACCCTGGTGGATTGTTACAGTAAAGCTCAATGTAAACGTAGTATTTTTAGTGTGCTAACTGACGCCAGCATCGTGGCATTGGCATAATTCACCAGTACAGTGCTAGACAACGCACAGGCGTTCAAACACATCCACAATATGGGATAAATAATCAGTACTACCAGATAAACAAAAAATGATCAGTGCTCTATAGGCTGAAAGCATGCTCCACTGAGTGGGACCCTGGTGGATTGTTACAGTAAAGCTCAATGTAAACGTAGTATTGTTAGTGTGCTAACTGACGCCAGCATCGTGGCATTGGCATAATTCACCAGTACAGTGCTAGACAACGCACAGGCGTGCTAACTAAACTTTGCACTGGAGTGTGCAAGCGGCATAGCTTTTTTGAGCCCGGTATCCCAGCATTACCCAAATTTAGCATCACAGTGCTAAGTGCTAAATTAACTGTTAGCACAGAGGTCAACATCAAGGGGCATCAATATTCTAAGTGCTATGAGAGCCACAGATCTCTTAGGGTGAAGATATTAAAAGACTGCCCTCTTTTAAAGTGTATGAGATACACCAGAGAAGGGGGTGCTGTTAACAAGTGTAACAGGCTGCTGCTCAAACGCCTTTCATTCATCGCTTTTCCTCAGCTGCATTGGGGTTTCTGTGAATGACCTGAGAATTGAAGAGAAAAAGAGTTTGAAAGGTAATAATTACAATGATTAAGTAGTTAATATAGGCTGAAAGCAAATAAAACGATAAACAATAATAGACTGTTATCACCTGCCAGGATGTACAGGGAAGTGGCTCTGCACTGGCGTCGGCTGACTGCTGCTAGGGCTCATTAGCATTGCGCTGTAGATGTTGGACGCCACCACCAGTATGCACAGCAGGATCGGCCCAAAGATGGCACCCTCCAAACCTAAATAGTACGCACCACCTGCTACCGCGAGGCCGGTCAGATACGGGTGTCCACCTCTGCAAATTATGGGAGGGTGTGGTATACAAATATATACAAACAAAATGAGAACAAATGTTGTTGATAGACACTGACAGATAAAACCAAACTCCCAACACGCATATAAAAAAAACACAATCAAAGAGAATATTCTGGGTTAGTGAATAATGACGTAATGGTAAACTGTTCATTTGGCTGACATTTGGATATCAAAAAATCAAGTAAAAAAAGTCAAACACACCCTGATATATCAGAGTATATGGCCGTGTCAACAAAGTATGTTGGCAGCAGATGGCAGAAGAGCAGCAGCAGAGCTTTGACTCCCTCTGCCTGAGCCAGCCACAAATCCAACACCGCTGGCAGTGCCGCCCAGTACGTCCCCAAAAACGGCACCGCACCTAAGATTGCTGCCATTGCTGCAGAGAGACAAAGATAGAGAGGCAAGACAAAGATGAGAACATAAACTTGGGGTCAGCAAGACTTTTTAATGTTTAAAGTCGCTTAAAGGGTTAGTTCACCCAAAAATGAAAAAAGGGAACACAATTTAAGATATTTTTGATGAAATCTGAGGGCACGTTCAAGGTCTAGAAAAGTACCAAGATGATCGACAAAGTAGTCCGTGTGACATCAGTGGTTCAACTGTAAATTTAAGAAGCTACGAGAATACTTTTTTGCGCAAAGAAAACAAAAATAACGACTTTATTCTTTTCTGGACCTTGAACATGGTAGTTACCTTGCTGTCTATGGGAGGGTCAGAGAGCCCTCAGATTTCATCAAAAATATCTTAAATTGTGTTCCGAAGATGAATGAAGGACTTACGGGTTTGGAACAACACGAGGGTGAGTAATTAATGACAGCATTTTCATTTTTGGGTGAACTAACCCAAGCTCACCAAGGCTGTATTTATTGAATCAAAAATACTATAATATTGGGAAATATTACTACAATTTAAAATAACGGTATTCTATTTTAATATAATTTAGAATGTAATTTATTTTTGTGATGGCAAAGCTGAATTTTCAGCAGTCATTACTCCAGTATTTAATGTCACATTATTCTTCAGAAATTATTCTAATATGCTGATTTGCTCAAGAAAAATTCTTATTTATAAAAAAATATATATTTATAATATATATATTTATTATATATAAAAATTGATATTAACTATAAAAAGCTGAAAACAGACTAGTAATTTTGTGGAGACACACTGGCATTTTTCCAGAATTATTGGATGAATAGAAAGTAAAAAAAAAAAAAAAAAACTTTGAAATAGACATTATAATTTTCCTCACAAAGCCGTGTGACATCAGTGGTTCAACTGTAAATTTAAGAAGCTACGAGAATACTTTTTTGCGCAAAGAAAACAAAAATAACGACTTTATTCTTTTCTGGACCTTGAACATGGTAGTTACCTTGCTGTCTATGGGAGGGTCAGAGAGCCCTCAGATTTCATCAAAAATATCTTAAATTGTGTTCCGAAGATGAATGAAGGACTTACGGGTTTGGAACAACACGAGGGTGAGTAATTAATGACAGCATTTTCATTTTTGGGTGAACTAACCCAAGCTCACCAAGGCTGTATTTATTGAATCAAAAATACTATAATATTGGGAAATATTACTACAATTTAAAATAACGGTATTCTATTTTAATATAATTTAGAATGTAATTTATTTTTGTGATGGCAAAGCTGAATTTTCAGCAGTCATTACTCCAGTATTTAATGTCACATTATTCTTCAGAAATTATTCTAATATGCTGATTTGCTCAAGAAAAATTCTTATTTATAAAAAAAATATATATTTATAATATATATATATTTATTATATATAAAAATTGATATTAACTATAAAAAGCTGAAAACAGACTAGTAATTTTGTGGAGACACACTGGCATTTTTCCAGAATTATTGGATGAATAGAAAGTAAAAAAAAAAAAAAAAAACTTTGAAATAGACATTATAATTTTCCTCACAAAGTGAACAATAAGGACTGTTTTACACCACATGCAAATAAATACAAATATTATAATTTTGTCACATATATTTACAGGATACAGCCTTCACACTGTGCGCATAAGCAGCTGCAGGCAGTTTTAAAGGTGCAGTAGATCTTGGAAAAAGCTAACTATAGCCTGATAGCACTGAATGCGAACATACCACACCTCCCTGCAAATCGGCGTTCAAAGCCACGCCTCCTGAACGCATATACGCATGCAGATCAGACGATCAGAGACAACATTACTACAATACATCATGTGTCATTCACCAGTGAGAAAACTTTATAGCACAGTTAGTAAAAGTACTACAATACCAGGAAGGAAGATCGGGTTGTTGATGCTTGCCTGCCATTCTCGCTCTGTCTGCAATAGCGTACGAGACCGCGCTGATGACGTATCCTGTCTGCGCGAACCGGGTGCGCAGAGGTATGCAAATACACATGTTGACAGGCAGGTAGGAAAGTCAATTTGATTGGATGAACATTTCTTGGTCCTACGCCTTCCACAGAATATATCTATTAGTGCTGTCAAACGATTAATCGGGATTAATCGCATCCAAAATAAAAGTTTTTGTTTACATTATATATGTATGTGTACTGTGTTTATTTATTATTTATGTATATATAAATACACACACATTAAGTATATATTTTGAAAATATTTACATGTATATACATTTATATTCTATATAAATATATTTAATATATAAACAACATTTTTCTTAAATATATTCAGGCATGTGTTTGTATTTATATATACATAATAAATATACACAGTACACACGCATATATTATGTAAACAAAAACTTATTTTTGGATGTGATTAATCCCGATTAATCGTTTGACAGCACTAATATAAATACAGATAAATACATTTGGACCACTTAACTTAATGATTGCTATCGGGGTGTGAAGAGACTTTCAACCAGCATAACAAAAAATGTTTCTGAAGACAATCACCTATTGCACCTTTAACACAGCCATTTTTTCATGTAAATTAGATTCGCAACAGACCATACTTACAATGACTTATTTAATATAATAGAAAAACATGTGGTGTGAAACATGCCTAAGACAGGAAGAGGAGAGTTTTTATGTCTGTGTTTATTTTAGTCTTACCTGAGGGGATGAAGACAATGTTGATGCCAAATATTGTGTGAGTAAGCCAAGTATAAAGGCCATAGAATCCAGCCATCTTCAGAGAGGCATCAAACACACCCCTGCACAGAAAACAGAGTGAGACAGAGCAGAAACACAGAGGGCTTTTCTCCCCTCAGACTAATACTGACTGGAGTCAGAGTGAATCAGACTCTCTGTGATAGCGCTCATGAAAATGGGTCTAATGGAACATCTTTGTGCATTCTGGGTGACGGCAGCATCAGCACACACACTGAACTGAGTTAGGAAAGTGAATTCCTCTCCTCATTTCACTTTCACAGCTTCTGACATTGTCTATGAAGGGGAAAGTGTGCTTGTGAATGTAACGTTTTTATCCAAGTCAATTACATTATGCTACTTTCTACTGGAGAAACCTGAAGTTAAGCATCATGCTCAAGGACACCACAGTGCTACAGCAGATCTGTGACCCCATTCAGTCTCCATTTTCTGGGTCACCCTTACCTGCAGATGAACCCTCCAAATATTTAACCAGCATTTCATTCCCAGTCAATTTCACCCCCATTTCAGTTCCGATCATGATTGCAGTTAAATGATCTGTTCAAATGGCAGAAAAAGCAGAACAGTCTTGCCCTCTTGTGGTGATCACGAAGTACAGTATATTTTCCTGGTGTTAATGGCATAGTTCAGCCAATAATCATTTACTCACCCTAGTGTCATTCCAATCCTGTACCAATTTCTTTCTTCAACAGAACACAAAAAAAATATTTTGGAAAAAAACAACAACATTCGACCCAACCGACTTTCACTCTGTGGAATTTTTTTTTCTTCAAAATATCTTCTTTTTGTGTTCCACAGAAGAAAGCAAATTATACACATCTGGAATGACATGAGGTTGAGTAAATGATGACAAGATTTTCTTTTCTTTTTTTTTTAAAATCTCTATATCACATTTCTGCTTCCCTCCTGTATATATAGACTTCCACTGCAAGTGCATTACAAATTATTGCCTTCGCTTTTACAAACTGATGGACGAGTCAGAGTTATTACTAGTGGGGACATGCTTGTATTTTACTTTTAATATTCCTTTAAGGCTGTGGTTCTCAACCTGGGGCCGGGGCCCACTAGGGGACCTCAGCAAACGTCCAATGTGGCTGCAGGATGATTTAAACATATTAAAATAATCAAACTTAATTAAAATGCTAAAAATAATTAATTTACCTATACGGACACTCCCAGCTTCTGTTAATATATATTATCACGCGCGTTCAAATATTTTTTTTTTTGCCCTTTTTCTGATAGTGTAAGTAATGTTCATTTAACCAAGAAAATGTGACTGGGACATGAATTTACATTTGATAAAAAAAAAATGCCTCCTCATTTTGGAGCGCCACCGCACACCACTGATATATAGACCTATATATATTATCACTTATTTTTATAGTTACAGCTCTGTTAATATTATATTATACTGAGGGTCTTTGAATATTGTGTTGGACACTGGGGGGTATTTGAGACAAACCAAAGATCCACATGGACATGGTGTACCTGATGGCCTCTTCCACAGACTGTCCTATAATGTTTGAAGAGGGTCCAGGTTGGGAGAGGGGTGTGAGGCTGATAACCCATTTCACAGGTTTATAGTATTCGCCACTGGAGCTCAGCAGGTAAAAAAGTGTGGTCAGGAAAATCACCTATGCATCCAGAGAAACAATGAATATTTAAAACCCACCACTAATATCCAATCCCATCAATCCAGTTGTGTCTGTGTGTATTACCAGAGACAAGGCAAAGTTGAGCAGTGCGGTGCCGCTGTGGAACAGAACGGTGAGCAGCGTGGTTGTTGTGGATATCAGCAAGCCAACATTTCGACTCATCACCACCCACAGAGACTCCAATATCTAGCGCAGAAGACAACATATTCATCAATCTGTCAAATAAAGACACTCCCCACCACACACACACACACTGGAGCCTAACCGAGAGCAGCGTCTCGATATTCTCCTGAACGAATGAGGCGATGTCCTGCCAGTCCAGTATGTCCCCCAGCCAGCTGTTCTGCCTGTGCATATGTGGCTTGTGTCCACGGTGTCGTCCAGTGTGAGTCACATTCTACAACACAAAAACACAGACTGGAATACAACAACAAAAAAACAATAAATCAGTGAGTGTGCGTAACTGAGTAAGGTTTTGTTATTACCTTCACAATCCAGGACTGATAGAGACGGTCCCACAGTTCCAGAACTTGTTTCTCAATCACAGCCGTGTTGTTTACTTTATCACCCAACATCTTATGAAGCTACAATACACACATACTAAAAATCACTCACATAATAAATGATTATTCAGCTTTACGGAGACATACTGTAAAACATAAATTATTAAAGGCATGGACATAAAATTTGATTTAAAGATTTAATTTCATAATTAAATTACTTAAATGTTATTTCACAAAAATAAAAATGTGCTTTCATGTTTAATGAAAATGCAATAATGTCACCTCTGAAACAACTTTTTAAACCCTACTGTCTTTACCTTTATGATTTTTTTCCTTGTAACTAACCAACATTTGAATATGCATATCCTTGTGAAAAAGAAGTGCACTGAATTATTGTACACTTGTAGCATACTTCAAATCTTAAAAGCATATTTTTAAAAACTACTTACAGCTAATATAATTGAAATAAATGAAATAAAAGGCCACTTAAGTTTACCTGAAAAGAGGACATTTGTAATAATGTCAAATTAAAATATTTGCTGTAACGTACATTCAAAATCATCTTTTAATAATCTGTAGTGTGTTATTCGATACTGCGTTTAAAGTGAATATATTTTAAATGTACTAAATTGCAGCTTCATCATTACAAATATATTTCAATACATGACAAACAGGTTTCAAGAGATTAAAATATATTTTAGTACAATATAGTGCCAGTACATTCAGAAGTACACTTTAACAATATTTCAAGGACAAAATAAGTAACTATGAAATTACATTCAGTATAAAGATGTTACGTGGATCAAAAAAAAGCACCCTAAAGTTTGGCAAATTGCATTAAATATATATTTAAGCTATAATATATTTTGATTTAATTGCAATTAACATGCAATTAAGTGTCCAAAGACATTAAATTCAGCACACAGTATGTATATATTTTTAAAGTATATTATTTCCATAATTAGTCATCTTTTTTAAAAGTAGCCTATGCTAAAGTGCTCTTCTTTTCCATAAGGGCGTATTCAAAATAATGCAAACAACATTTGAGGGCAATGGCAATGAGAACATTTTCAGTGAATAACTTGCAGTTGGTTTCTCTCCCTAAGCAATCATATTACTTCAGAAGTCTTGGAATATAGCCCAAGCTTCATATGAATTACTTTTATGGTACTTGTAGTAATGGTGCTTTTTTTGTCATGTCACAGCCCTTGGTCACCATTCACTTTCGTTTTATCGGTCTCTTCAAATGTTATGAATGTTGTTCCATTTAGTCTTCAAAAGCACTGTCATCTCTTAACTCTGACCTTATGTGTGATCCATTCTCTCCCATGTTGGTAAACATTTGTGGCAGCAGAGTTTAGAGCCTTCTGGACAACTTGGGCCTCTGGGAGCCAACTACACAACACACATACACAGACACACACACAAACAGTCAGTTGCGCAACATTCCAAGAAGATTCCTAACTTCCAGTGTAAGATAAGGGTGTGTTTCAGCTTACTTGGCCCACTCTGGGTGGTTGGACACGGTCTCGTTGATCAAGTTACTGGTGACCTCTATGATATGAACACTCTCTTGGTGCACCTGTGAACAAAAATACAATTGGTGAGGGATCATGCGTACGGAGCATGGGATCAGTCACGGATCACATCCGTCACGCAGTGGAATAATCAGCCCAAGGACAGTGGTTTGGAAACACGGTACCATAGCTGTGAGCAGCAAGGCCATGAGCAGTGTGCCAGTTACCAGCAGGAAGATAATGAAAATACTGATCAGCTTATCCAAAGAGCGCTCCAGCCACACTATCATCTGCAAAGAAAGAGAGAAAGAGAGTTCAGTTTCAACAAAACAAATCGGATCATTCATGCAAGTGTGTGACAACACAGAAACCTGCTTCCCTCTGCCAAACCTGAGGAACAATGTTGTGTTCTTTGGTTATGAATACTTAAGAGTAAAATGCTCACCTCTTTCCGTGAAACAATACAGTTCACCCAACAAGGAAAAATAGTATCCTTGTGTTTTTCTCACACTATTTCAAGTCTTCTCAAGCCATGCAATTGCATTGTGTGAGGAAGAGACAGAAATTAAGATTAAAGGGGTGGCTGACTGCTTTTTTCTAGGCTTGATTGTGTTTATGGGGTGCAGTCTAGCATGTGTTAATGCTTCATTTAAAAAAAACAAAAAAACAACAACATTATTTACCTTTATTCTACACCGCTCCATCCCTTCTCCTATGAACGCTCTGATGATTTCCTGGTTTTATGAAGCCCCTCCCTCAGAAATACGCAACGGGCTCAGATTGGTTAGCTGGCCCATTGTGTTGTGATTCGCTAAACCTCCTAGTGCAATCCACAAACGTCACACCTCACTGCCTCGCCCCCTTTGTTGCATGTTCCCAGGGGAAATGTCAGGGTTTGTGATGTCACCAACCCAGGAAGTAACTCGTTGTAGTCCCTATCAGCAGTAACTGTAGGCATTAACCTGCCATAATTTTAAAAGACAATGTCTCTGTTTGTTCATGCTCAATCAGCAACATTACACATTACCTAAAGTTAAAAAAGTTACATATACAATCAACCACCCCTTAAAAATAACATTTTGGGGTGACGTTTTCCTTTAAAAACTTAACAGAGGATCCATGGATCAGTTCTGAGCATCAGAGTTCAGTTATGCAGCCTTATTTGCATTTTTAGACATAACCCTGTGAAAATATTAATAGTAAACATTATGATGAAAACTCACACATGTAACTGACTCCTAAGCCAAAATAATGCTGACTTTCCTTTTTAAACCGCTCTGACACCTGCTAACCTGTTGAATGACTAAGCAAGACTATCTGCTGAGTGAATGAGCTAACAGCACCGCTGATGATCATCTTGTCAGGAAACAGTGAGTGGTTGTAAACAGGAGGAGGTGGGCATATTTTTGTTTTTGGCAGGTGGACTCGGTTTCTCTGCTCACCCAGCTTCTGTCGGCCCCGTGGGCGGCACTTGCATGTCTAATCCTGTTCTCTGGTTCCGTTAGTGCTAAATGTTAACATCACACACAAACCTGGCAATGTTGATGACGGATTAGTACAGAGTTTACGCTGTTAAGAAAACTGAAAAAAGACTAAAGACTAAAGGAAAAGAATTACTCCTTCTAATATGCAGTTTAAAAGCAATGCTGGCAAATGCTGCAGGATTCCTGAGGGGAGGGACATACTATCGGACCTGAAAATAACTTCTTCACCATCTGCTCCTGATAAGCCACAGCCAGACTCATCTTAATCGGACACAACCAGTGAGATGCTACTGTACATGGAGCATTTACAACTGCATAAATCAGAAAACATACAAACAACAAAAACAATTATATTCTTTGACAGAACATTCTAAAGACTTATATTGGTGATGTCAGACAAGAAAAGTTGTTTCAGAAGCTATTATTACAGAGATTACAAAGACATTTTAAGCTTTGAAACAACATACAAATAACCATGCATAACAGGACATGGAATGCGCATTTAAAAGGTTTAAAGTGGAATATTATGGTGAACACTGTTTTAAAGGCTTTGCTATTAAGCCATTAGTTCCAAATGATATTCTTCACAGAAATCCCATAATTCCTTGCAGCAATATAAACTTAAGATGCATTGTGTGAGGAAGAGACAGAAATTAAGATTAAAGGGGTGGCTGGCTGCTTTTTTCTAGGCTTGATTGTGTTTATGGGGTGTAGTCTAGCATGTGTTAATGCTTCATTTAAAAAAAACAAAAAAACAACAACATTATTTACCTTTATTCTACACCGCTCCATCCCTTCTCCTATGAACGCTCTGATGATTTCCTGGTTTTATGAAGCCCCTCCCTCAGAAATACGCAACGGGCTCAGATTGGTTAGTTGGCCCATTGTGTTATGATTCGCTAAACCTCCTAGTGCAATCCACAAACGTCACACCTCACTGCCTCGCCCCCTTTGTTGCATGTTCCCAGGGGAAATGTCAGGGTTTGTGATGTCACCAACCCAGGAAGTAACTCGTTGTAGTCCCTATCAGCAGTAACTGTAGGCATTACCCTGCCATAATTTTAAAAGACAATGTCTCTGTTTGTTCATGCTCAATCAGCAACATTACACATTACCTAAAGTTAAAAAAGTTACATTTACAATCAACCACCCCTTAAAAATAACATTTTGGGGTGACGTTTTCCTTTAAAAACTTAACAGAGGATCCATGGATCAGTTCTGAGCATCAGAGTTCAGTTATGCAGCCTTATTTGCATTTTTAGACATAACCCTGTGAAAATATTAATAGTAAACATTATGATGAAAACTCACACATGTAACTGACTCCTAAGCCAAAATAATGCTGACTTTCCTTTTTAAACCGCTCTGACACCTGCTAACCTGTTGAATGACTAAGCAAGACTATCTGCTGAGTGAATGAGCTAACAGCACCGCTGATGATCATCTTGTCAGGAAACAGTGAGTGGTTGTAAACAGGAGGAGGTGGGCATATTTTTGTTTTTGGCAGGTGGACTCGGTTTCTCTGCTCACCCAGCTTCTGTCGGCCCCGTGGGCGGCACTTGCATGTCTAATCCTGTTCTCTGGTTCCGTTAGTGCTAAATGTTAACATCACACACAAACCTGGCAATGTTGATGACGGATTAGTACAGAGTTTACGCTGTTAAGAAAACTGAAAAAAGACTAAAGACTAAAGGAAAAGAATTACTCCTTCTAATATGCAGTTTAAAAGCAATGCTGGCAAATGCTGCAGGATTCCTGAGGGGAGGGACATACTATCGGACCTGAAAATAACTTCTTCACCATCTGCTCCTGATAAGCCACAGCCAGACTCATCTTAATCGGACACAACCAGTGAGATGCTACTGTACATGGAGCATTTACAACTGCATAAATCAGAAAACATACAAACAACAAAAACAATTATATTCTTTGACAGAACATTCTAAAGACTTATATTGGTGATGTCAGACAAGAAAAGTTGTTTCAGAAGCTATTATTACAGAGATTACAAAGACATTTTAAGCTTTGAAACAACATACAAATAACCATGCATAACAGGACATGGAATGCGCATTTAAAAGGTTTAAAGTGGAATATTATGGTGAACACTGTTTTAAAGGCTTTGCTATTAAGCCATTAGTTCCAAATGATATTCTTCACAGAAATCCCATAATTCCTTGCAGCAATATAAACTTAAGATGGCAGACAAGGCTAAAGAACTGTACACTTATGTACAAAAAGTTTGGGGTTGGCTCATCAAGGCTGCATTTAACGGATCAAAAATACAGTAAAGTAGTAATATTATAGAACATTATTACAATTTAAAATAACCTTTTTTTGGAACTTTTTAATATTTTGAAATCTAATTTATTCCTGTGATGGCAAAGTTGAATTTTCAGCAGCCATTAATCCAGTCTTCAGCATCACAAGATCCTTCAGAAATCTTTCTAATATGCTGATTTGGTACTCAAGAAACATTTACTATTAACATTGTTCCCCAAAAAAGTAAAATACTTCACAAGCGAGATAAAAACAGTAAGAAATTTACTGGAAAAACAAAAAACAAAACAAGGCATCAAGGCAAACGTTTCAGTCACATGTTGACCATTTTCAATGCCAAGCTCCAATTTGATGTATATTATCCATTGCTTTAAATGTACACATGTTGTGGTCATTTTTTTTCTTTCTTTATTACTTTATATTTTGATATTGTGTAATTTAATATGTTGAATAACTGATTCTGCTTGTTCTGATTGATCATGTGATTTCTTAAATCAAGATGGCTCCTAGTTCCAACATTAGGTGCGTTCGGCTTGAAGCACGGCTACAGACGGCGATCAACGAGAGTAGCCGCTTGCAGTCAGGGGTGGAGTTGAAAACGGAGCCGTCAAGCCAGACACTTTCTGCCACTACTGTATCACAGATGAAGTGAATTAAATGCAATATTTGTCAAATATACAGACGTTTCAGAAACATTTTCATGAGAAACAGATATATACTGATTATATACGGCTTAATACATCGCCATCTGTTCAAGAATAAAGTTCAACGTAAATATATACTATTTAAATACTAATAAAGTGGGGGAATATATGCTTTCATCAGTGTTGAATGATAAAAGTCAATATATCATTGTGACTACAGTAAAAAAGCTTTTACTGTTCTAAAAACACAGATTTGTGGCTATTATTGGAATTGAAAATGTTAGAATAAACCCAAAACACATGTGATAGTTGTCATGCGGTGAAGCTGGCCAATCGTGAAATGGCTGTGTTGTCATCAACGCTCCTGCAGTCAACCGGCTGCTCTCGAAACGCTCTCGCGGTGCTTTGATGCCACACGTGACAGTGACGTGGCATCGGCGTCGTCTCAAGTCGGACAAAATTGCTAACCGGCATGCACTGCTTCAAGTCAGATTGCGATCGATCTGCGCAGAGCTGCATGAAGTCGAACACACCTATTGCTAGCTTGGCAGTGAAAATGGTCAACATGTGACCGAAAAGTTTGCCTTGTTGTCTTGTTTTTTTTCAGTAAATTGCTTACACTGCTTTCATCTCGCTTGTGACTTAGATTTTAAAATATCTGTTATGATTGTCCTCTTGTGAGTGTCCTCGTCTTTTTTTTTTACCTCCTTTTATTCTTGTGTGCAAATCGGTGGGCAGAGTTAAACAGGCAGTGATGTAGAAGCAGGCATTGATCTTCTTCTGTGGAGGCAGTGTTTAGCCACACTATTACGTCATAAAGTGGCACATTCCACATCCTGTCTTTTTGGCAGATTGACTTCAATGTAAGCTTTTTTTTTAGCCTTACGAGAACGTTTTGAGTTCTGAAACTTACAGAATGTTTATATAGCACAATGACCTCTTATATATCAAAAGAATATATCAAAATTTCTCAGTTCATGACCCCTTTAAATGGACTTCTGATGGTAAATTTCCACTGAGATCAAACTTAGAAGACACACAACTCACAGCAAATGTATGTCGAAGAGAGTCATATTGAACAATAAAGGCCTTTATCAGGGACAAAAGAAATATCTGTTATGATTGTCCTCTTGTGAGTGTCCTCGTCTTTTTTTTTTACCTCCTTTTATTCTTGTGTGCAAATCGGTGGGCAGGGCTAAACAGGCAGTGATGTAGAAGCAGGCATTGATCTTCTTCTGTGGAGGCAGTGTTTAGCCACACTATTACGTCATAAAGTGGCACATTCCACATCCTGTCTTTTTGGCAGATTGACTTCAATGTAAGCTTTTTTTTTAGCCTTACGAGAACGTTTTGAGTTCTGAAACTTACAGAATGTTTATATAGCACAATGACCTCTTATATATCAAAAGAATATATCAAAATTTCTCAGTTCATGACCCCTTTAAATGGACTTCTGATGGTAAATTTCCACTGAGATCAAACTTAGAAGACACACAACTCACAGCAAATGTATGTCTTGGATTGCTTGTGTAATTTATATAATTGAAGGTCAGATTATATTTCTTACAATTTGATTGAAGTCATGTATTATGTTGTAGTTCCTTGTTAAGTCAGCAGTTACCGGCTAGTAACAGTTTAATGTTCTCAAGCTAATATTCCGCTCATTTGCTTCTTGGTGAGTGGTAATTTCGGACCCTGCATGTTTTCAGTACATTTGCTCATAAGAGCATGTGTGACTCAGCATGCTAAAGAATGGGAGAAGGCAAAACTAGGTTACTCTGTCTACTGGATTACTATGGGGTCAGGAAGGAGTGGGCAAATAGTAAATAATTCTTAGAGGTGTAGGATTTCATCTAGACTGACTGCAACAGTGGGCTTTCATTCTCCTTAGACAGTCCAAAAGATCAAACCCATTAAAATGAAAGTGACATTGTCATTGGGCATGAGTTGGGCTTGAGTTGACTTCCTCATGTCACAAACCTCAAACAATAGACAAAAATAAAAAACTACCAAACTAAAAATGCAACATCACTGTGCACAGACTAAAAATAGTTACTCTTGATTTGAACCGAGTACTTGAGCTGATTTGAGAGACAGGAAATATGTACCAACTATTAGGTTAATAACATTTCCTTTTAGAATTACTCGCTCACATTGAAAACAGATTCTGTTGAACATTAATTTAGTTCCCAAATGCCTCTACAAGAAATGCTATAAACACAAACATCCACATCTGTCCTTCATAGCTTTTATTCTGTCAGTTATGAATACTTCTTGTCTTAGTTGTGTGAAAAAAAGAGAATTAGCAAGCCACAACCACATTTAGTTCCTCTTTGTAATCACAGATCTGTGTCACCTCCAAAAATAAATGTGTGCATGTGGCGACAACTACCAGCAGGCAAGTGTTGTGAAGGACAGTGGGTCAGCAGACAGGCGAGTGCTTTTGTGTGTGTGTGTATCTATATATGATATTACCTTAGTGTCGACCCGAAGCAAGAACTGAGCTAGGCCTTTGATCGTTCCAGGCAGCACAGCATCCTGTCTGTCTTTGACAAACGTCTCAGAAGCGGCCCACCATTTCACTAGAGTCCGCCTAATGAAGTCCTTCATCCCAAAATGGACAACCATCTTCTTCAGGACCCAAACTGGAAAATATAACACCCATCCATGAAAACATGCATACTATCCCACACTTGTGACCTGAGGACCATGAACACAACATTTACCAGCAACAGGGATGGGAAGTAACTGTAAGATCCAGAGGTTGAGCCAGATCTGCACCAGCACTATAGCCCACGCAAGCAGCACAAAGTAAATATCACTGGCCTTCTCTTTGGGCTGGATACCCCTGAACTCTAGTCTGCTATGCCGCCGGGATGAGGGAATGCTAAAGAGTCTCTTCGGGGGGTCCATTGCTTCTGTGAGGGGAAAAATAAATCTTTACTAATGATGATAGAATTGTTGTTACTTACCATACAGGAATTTCTAACCTCAGTACCTCAATACCTTGAAAAATACTGACATTTGATACAATTTTCAATACCACAAGAAAAAAACTGCATAACATTTGATCGGTATCTGAGTGAATTTACTTTTGACCATAAAGTATTTTTTATCAACTGAAACTGTGGGATATTCCTCAGGTCTGATAGCTCTGAGTGGATTTCTATAATACTACTAACTACTAATAATAAGAAAAAATTAATAGTATATTAAAAAACATAGTAAAAAAAAATATTATATTAATTATTTTAGTTTACGCTGCAGTACAATTACAATAAAGAGCTGGTGGAAAATTGCAAGGAAGGCTATTACTATGAAAACAGGCTTACAAAGGCTTCTCAGTACAAATCTAGTAAAATGCTGTAATTATGTGTCCTCAGAAATGTTGGAAATTAAATTAATGTAAAAATAAAATTTAACTGGAGAACACTGTGCTCCCAAAATCCATGTTTAAAGGGATAGTTCACTCAAAAATTAAACTTTTGTCATCATTTACTCGCCCTCATGTCGTTCCAAACCTCTATGAACTTCTTTCTTACGCTGAACATAAAAGAAGATTTTGAAAAATGCTGGTAGTCGAAAAAGTTGATGGTCCCCATTAACTTCCATAGAATTTCTTTCCCTACTATGGAAGTAATTTGGGACCAACAACTGTTTGGTTCTTCAAAATTCTTTCAACTATCGTTTTTTTTTTGCGTTCAACATAAGACTGACATTCATACAGGTTTGGAACAACATGAGGGTGAGTAAATGAAAAAGAAAAACTATTTCTTTAACTCACAGCAAATGCAGAGATCAGCTCTGAGACACTAAAAACACAGGATCATGAGCTTCTCACATGTAAAAGAAAACAGTGCCACGCTTCACTCTGAAACATGCAGCAAAATAGAATATATGCTTTTTAAATAAAAATGCACACTTCTGAAAGTCAGTCATAACTTGACCCACACAAAATCTTTTTAAATAATTTCTGCAGAATCCCACAGATTCTCCCTCAAAGAGAGAAACAGCTCTGCAAATAACTTCAAACATCTACATGACTTTGAATTAACTCAGCAAAAGTGGTCTGTTATCTTTTTTGTGTCACCTTTGGATTGTTCTTTGGTGCTCTTCTCTTCCTGGATCTTTTCAGCAATGCTGACGTTACCGCAAGAGATTGCCATGAAGATTGTATTAGCAGCAAAGGAGAGCACCTGACCAGAGAGCTCACCTGTACATAGAGAAGAGAGGAGCAAGAGTCAGAGGACATCAAGAACAGAGGTAAATCAAGTGAGAGCTGGAGCCTCAGCCTCTTTACCTTTCCCTGGAACAGCAGGCTTCTCCTGAGAACCCACTATTAGCAGTAACACCACCACCACAAACACAGGCACACGCCACGACCCTGTCAGAGATACTGGGAAAAAGAGAGGATTTTTAGCATTCCTTCATTGACAGGATTGTAGGTCAATACTAAAACCCAAACAGAGCCATTCACCGGTTCAAAACAGAAAGGTCTTACCCAGGTAGAAAATAAGTGCTGCCCATACAGGCACAGACAGTGTACGCAAGTAACCTTCCATGCTAGGTGTCCACTTAAACGCCACAGCCAACACGTAGCCCACAACTAAAGTGCCAACCTGAGAAAGAGAAAGACAGAGAACATATGGGCATCTCTGGTAACCACTGTGCCTGCACCAAACATTTGCCACCGATCTATTTATAATCACAAAAACCCTCAGTATGTTCACAGCTCTCACAGGCACTGCGAGGGTGTTTTCAACACACACTTCAATTAAGTGGGTAAAAGGAATTGTTTTACCAAATAAGAAAGTCATAAATTGTGTCATAATTATCAAAAAAATTATATAGTTGATCATTTTCTCCTTCCTGTTTTTTTAAATTAGAGCCAGTTTCACTGCCAGCTTCTTGAAGAAATCAGCACCTTAAATTTTTCTTGTTATTTTGGTGATCCCAAAGTTCTACTGGATGGGGATTTTGGGGGCAATAACAATTTAGACTAATAATAGACATCACATAATATGTAAGAATTAAATTAAGCACTAGAGAGAACTAAAACAAAATCAGATACTGAGGTAATTAAATTTAATGTCAGGGTGAAATTTAGTCCTTTAGAGTTCTTGTAACCTTTAGAAGAACTTAAAATATGTCTTATGATCTATCATCTGGCCTGTGTTTGTAGCCTAAGGGACATATTTTTAGCATCTTGGGATGTCATGCTCCAATTCCCATTCATATACTAAACATGAGTTCTAGATAATGTTGATACTTCACATGGACAGTTGTGTTAATTAATAGTTTTCTATACAAACATATTTGCATATGGTTAGGTTGTCCAAAGCCAGATGTGGTAATACAGAGGTTGACAGATTTGCATTGTAAATATATGATTCTCTAATGGATGAAAGAGAGACAGAATGTGACAACCCATGATAGTGCTCGACACTGACAGAAAATTATTTAGCTTTAAAGTTTAAACACTATAAGATATATGTGACCCTGGACCACAAAACCAGTCATACTGGTCAATTTTTTTATATTGTAAATATATAAGCTTTCCATTGATATATGGTTTGTTAGGATAGGACAATATTTGGCCGAGATATACGACTATTTGAAAATCTGGAATAACACAGGCTTGAGGGTGCAAAAAAATCAAAATATTGAGAGAATCGCCTTTAAAGTCGTCCAAAATAAAGTTCTTCGCAATGCATATTACTAATCAGAAATTACGTTTTTATATATTTATGGTAGGAAATTTACAAAATATATTCATGGAGCATGATCTTTACTTAATATCCTAATGATTTTTTGCATAAAAGAAAAATTGATAATTTTGACCCATACACTGTATTGTTGACTATTGCTACAAATATACCCTTGTTTTGTGGTCCAGGGGGTCACATATATGACACTATATATTATAATACCAAACTTTGTTGCAAAATGTAAGTTTCAAACAATTATGAATGTTATAAAAGTATCATTACTAAATGTACATAAATTTATGAATTATTCTGTTATCTAAGTAGGAATGAAGTTCTAAGTCCCTGTCCCACAAGTTACCACTCTACCACCTGTGCATTGTCTGACAGGAGGCGTTGTCACTGTCCCATTCACAGACAGAACTCACCCACGCCGCGCTGAAACAATCCAGGCCGAGACAGATGACCGTACAGACATGACTGAGGATCACCTGCATGCCAATGACGCTCCAGAACAGATATAGGAAATAAAGCAGGGGTACACCGGCCCCAACTGCCAGCAGTACATTGAGCCGATCTACGACCAGTCCTCCCAGAGTTTCCACCCCGTAGTTTACGCACCACACCGGCACCAACAGAGTCCCAACCACTATCGGTGTGCCGCTGTCTTGCAGGCTGCTGAGCCAGGAGCGGCCGAGGCGGGCGAGCGAGTATTTGAAGGGGTGCAGGAAAGTGCCGCACAGCACTGCCCAAAGCAGCGGCCGCAGAAAAGCCTCCAGGATGAAGTAGACCAACACCGCTGCTCCGCAACAGATCGCCACGAAGATCATCGCTCCCGTGTTGTAGAAGGCCTGTTTGATGTTTTTGTCGAACTTCAGGGAGGTCTGCTGGCTCAGTAGGTGGCTCACCATCCCGACTGCTGGCTGAACGGTCTCGCTGAACGAGACGTAGTGTGGCCAGCTGGTGCGCGGGGTGTCCGCCTCGGTAGCCTCGCCTGGACCAGGGTCCTCTGTGTCTGCCATGCTCGCTGGCGTCGCTGCGCTTCAGTCCGGAGGATCCACCACATAAGGAACTGCGAGCTGGGCAAAGAGTGACGTAGCGTGTTGGATGAAGTCTGGGAAATGTAGTCAAGTTACAACACTTGTATTTCTGAACGAATGTTTAAAAAAATGTAGTCAAGTTACTGTGTTTTACAGCCTACCACCACTGTATGTTTTTTTTAAATGTAGGTGCTGGTGGTTCGTTATCTTTTTAAGGGATAGTTCACCCAAAATTAGAATAGTCAACATTTACTGGCCATCATGCGGTTCCCTATAAAACAGTAGAAGTCTACGGTAACCAAAACATCTACTATAATACAATGGTTAACAGCGCTCTTCAAAAAAATTATTTTGTGTTAAGAAGTAAGCCAAACAGGTTTGGAACTGCATTTAAATGATGTGAATAGTATCAGTTTGTAGTTTGAAAAGTCACAAAATGGAGGGAAAATGCTGAAAAAATAATACTCTGTGATAATCTGATTATAAAGGATATTAAGTATGGATTCAAAATAATATAGTAGAATACAACTAGTTCTTTAATGAATCGTTTGAGTGAATGAGTGAGTGACTCGCTCGTAGCACAACAAAAAAAGACGTAACAATCTAAATTAGAGAAAAGATGAATTAGTGAACAAATATTTTATTGATTTTATTTACTATTCTTCAAGGTGCCATGTCATGACAAGTACATCAAGTTCAGACCCCGGCAGAACGTTCTCAGTTTATCCAGACAAATATGACAACGGTACACATTTTCAGCTGTCTTTCATAGCTTTATTAACAAGTGCCGTACGTGTCGTGTTCAGGACCATCAAACAGGTATCTTTTTTCCAATTAGAGCGAGAATTCACAGTAAACTTGTCAGAATGTATGTAAGCTGCTAATGATAGGAGATTGTCTGACAAATGTTTAAAATCCCAACGGTTCACAGTCCTTCACTATGCACACTCATTATTGCATATTCTCTAACACTGTCAATGTCAAAATTTCAGAAGTATATTAAAATATAACAAACATATTGTTCCTTGACCACTGGCATATGATGTCTCCATTTATGCTACATAACATGATTATCTCTGGCCGGCACACATCAAAAACGAATCGCATCACTCCTCCAAGTACTAAACTAAATGCCTGTCTAAACATCTTTACGCGTTGCTCTTCAGTCTACTATACAAATGATATTACACAACATTTTTAAAGAACGCCAAATAATTAACAGAAAACAATCACACACTAACTGGCGTGATCCAATTCTTTCTACACAGGCAGCAATCAGTTCTTGGACTATTTGTATGTTTTACAATGGCATGAAGTCCTTGGTATAGAAAGTCTTCAATTCACTAAAACGAAAACCAGACGACTCTCTCCTGGACTGGTTCTGTTCCTGATCTAAATGGCTCAGATGAGGCTGGTTTGCTGGCATGCATCATCAAATACTGAGCTGGCAATGCTGGCTAACTGGAAGGCAGTGATGTTTTATGAATTATTTGCATGTGTGTTTGTGCTGTAGGGCAAATTATGTACTGCTGTTAGTTGTGTAGTCAGTCACAGAGGCATTAATTAATTTACATCACTCTGAAATCCACAGCCTTAATAAATGTTAATCAGAACTGTAATATACCAGAAAACACTGGATAGCAGGCAACTACAAACAGCAGAGCACCTCTACTGAGATTTGGCTAAACATATTCCATTCAATTGAACGAGGCAACTCACTTCTCCATAGAGTTCTGTAGTGGGACATTATGTGTCATGATATGTGCCACTGTAGAGATACTGTCACACTTATCATTGTTCAGCAAGTTTTTGTTGGTAAAATTGAGTCATTTCAATAGGAATCATTGTTTTGGAAGTTCATGTGAGGGTGAAAGATTTCCCCACACAGATTTTGGATTCGCAGCTTTGACCAACAGAAAGCTGATGGTTTGACAGTGATATACAATGGACTTTCTTGAATGCACAATTTTACTGAAAGTTCACTAAAGTGACTGCACTTTAAGTATACTGAATATTAACATTAATTTGGCTCAAGATTGTTTCAACTATTGTAGGCTATACCTACCATAACATACCACTTGAGGTTTCTCTACTCTTTCATCAAAATAAAATATATTGTAACATATAATAAGTATGTATGGTTGACCCGCTCTCCTCTAAATGAGAATCCTTGCTTGTATATAACTGAATATTAATCCACAGTCCAAATACCTTTCCAGTGTACGTAGACTGAGGATATTATAGAATTGCAATTTATTGCTGCCTGTTTCTAATACTGTTATGTTGGCACACAGTCATGCTATAGTGGCTCCATAGTTTGTTGTATTAATTTCTTCTCTCAGTGACACAGCTTCGCTGGTTATGGTGTGCCCATCAGCAGGTAGAAGGTAAGAGCAACGATGAGGAGGAGGCAAAAGGGAGAGGAGAATGTCTGATAGGCTGTGGCTGGCATGAAAATGTCCTCATATTTATAGATGCTAATCATGCGATCTGACACTGGTGGGGAGTCGATGTCATGCCTTGTGATGGAACCTGAGAAGAAAAACAGAACAAGATCCCCATAAATAGGGCAATATTACATTTGTAGCCCTAAAGAGAATAGTTTAAAATGAAAATTTGCTGGCACTTCACTCAATCCAAGATGTAGATGTAGATTTGGAGTATTTTTTTATTACATAATTTCATACAGCATTACATTAACTTGCTCACAAGTGAATCCTCTGCAGTGAATTGGTGCCATCAGTTCAAACAGCTGACAAAAGCCTCACAATAATCCACATGACTCCAGTCCATCAATTGATGTCTTGTGAAGTGAAAACTCCATGTTTATAAGCAACAAATCCATCATTAAGGAATTTATCTTTTAACCATCACTTCTGGCCAAAATACCAGTTATATAACCAGTTCATAACGCTCCTCAAATGAGAAAAGTCTGTCCTCTGTAGTCCTCTCACATCAAAATCCACTGAATATTTGTTTAGAACTGTTTTGGACTTTTTTGCTTGTAAAATGTTTGTATACAGTATTTCTCTCACGATTCAGACTTTTTCCCTGGAGTAAGCAATATTACGGATAGATGACTCTTATTTTAGCCAGAAGCAATGGTTTAAAGTTAAAAACATCTTAATGATGGATTTGTTTATTAGAAAAACACACAACATTACTTGATGGAGTAAAGTTATGTTATGTTATTGTGATGTTTTTATCAGCTGTTTAGACTCTAATTCTGAAAACACCTATCATTGGATCCGTTAATAAGCAAGTGATGTAATGCTAAATTTCTCCAAATCTGTTATGATGAGTACATTTTCAGCAAATTTTCATGTTTGTATAAACTACTCTTTTAAAACCAGGCTGTATGTCTTTACCTTGAATGGCAGGTCCCCAAGCGAACAGATAGTACCAGCTGAGGTGCAGGTCAACCAGCGTCTCCTCCCGTGGCACGTGAAGAGGCCGTTTGAAGCGGCACGTGACGCGGTTGTTTTCAAAGATGCCCTCCTCATCCCGCGCCGGGTTGCGCTTGATCTCTTTGGCCCACTGGCCCACGTTGTAGAAATGATGTATCCGTACACGTCCGTTATCGTCATGAACACAGCCCATGACATCATCACCTCCCTACAACAACAATATCATTGTGTATTTCTTAGCAGGCATTCGCACCAAATATATATATGTAATCCCTCTCTCCTTACCATTTTTTTGTCAGAGGAGAAACCGACAGCAACCCATCCATCAGTGTCTGCACTCATCTCGAATTCCACATCTGTGCCAATGCGTCTGAAACTCAGGAAGTAGTCACAGGTCTCTGCGTCACAGCCTGGTTTGCCATATCTACAGCAACAGTAGAGAGACAAAGTGATGACTTTTTATTTTAGGGTGAACTTAACCCAGTATGAACAATCATCAACACAGACTTACAAAGATCCATGATGTGCATGTCTATTTTATGTATATATTATGAGTGTACCGGACAGCTTGATTCTGCATTACGGCATGCAGCGCATAGTTTGATGCCACAATAACCCATTGTTTATAAATTAAATTGAACCTTTATTCCATGCACTCACCTGATGCATCCTTTGGTTATTCCACAGTCGCTAACTTTGATGCGGGCAAATGGGTCTACAGGGGGTGCAGCTGGGAAGGGGTAACCTATTTGAGACATTAGACAACAACACATTAATCAACTGGTTTCAGCTAGTTCTACTACTAAAATAATAATTAATGATGTCATATACAGTGGGTACGGAAAGTATTCAGACCCCCTTAAATTTTTCACTCTTTGTTATATTGCAAAGGGTCAAAAGGGTGCTTCTACTAAATACTGAGCAAAGGGTCCTAAATACTTAGGACCATGTGATATTTCAGTTTTTCTTTTTTAATAAATCTGCAAAAATGTCAACAATTCTGTGTTTTTCTGTCAATATGGGGTGCTGTGTGTACATTAATGAGGAAAAAAAAATAACTTAAATGATTTTAGCAAATGGCTGCAATATAACAAAGAGTGAAAAATTTAAGGGGGTCTGAATACTTTCCGTACCCACTGTATTTGTATGTTACATTTTAATTTGACTTAATACATTGTAATGCAGGAGGGGCAACTTAACCTTAGCTTTGGGTAAAGTTTTCGTAATATAGTATGTTGTGTAATACTTTTTTTCAGACACAAACACACACATACACACACAATGGTAATAAACAATAATTTACACTGTCTTGCATTTTATATTATTATATGACAGACATACACTACTGTTCAAAGGTTTGGGATCAGTAAGGCAATAAAGACATTTACAATGTTACAAACGATTTAAATTTCAATAAATGCTGTTCTTTTGACATTTCTATTCATCAAAGAATCCTGGAAAAAAAGTGTTCACGGTTTTCACGAAAATATTGAGCTATTTTCAGCATTGATAATAATAAGAAATGTAAAGACTGGACAAAAACATTAAAATCTTACCAACCCCAAGCCTTTGAATGGTAGTGTATTTTCTATTGTTTTGTACATTATACATGATACTGTATATTCACACATTTGTACTTCTAAGAACTATCCAAACATGT